GAATTTCAGATAATTCTATTAAAAAATGTAGTTAAAATCACCGAATATCCGGGCGGTACCGCTATATGGGGGCTATACACTGTCGTGGACCGATATCTTTGAAATTTTCCTGCCTGCAAACAAAATACAGATCTGAGCAATAATCTGATCAAGAATATATATACTTTGTTGGGTGTAAAATTAGTATTTCGATGAGTTACAAACGGCATGACGAACTTAAGATACCCTCCATACTATGTACGGTGGAGGTTATAAAAAATAGTTAAATTTAGTACCTTTCCAAGATTTATAGTACAATTTTCTAAACCCACCTCCAAATGTAAATCTCATCAGTCGAAAGAACTTCGAACTCGATCTAAGTTCGATTACAATGACTCGATATAATAATCTTGGACGAAATCCGATACTCTATTGTAAAGTTATCGCCAGGCAAACAGACAGACACCGCTGGATCGACTTCTAAGATCTTCTAAGAGGCATAAGAGGTCTGAAATCGTTATTCCGATGAGACACATTTCGGCCGTATCAAAGTTTACTACAAAATTGTATACGCAATTACAGAAAATTCTTGCTCTCAGCGGCATATGTTTGGTCCTGGTCAATGTTTTGAAACGACATTGACCTTTTTTAAATGAAGAGCATTTCATGCCGTTTAAAACCACCTTGGAAATACTTATCAAGCATATCAATTTATATAAAATACAATTAGGGGGACTTGTTATGTAGAACTAATTTTGAAATGTGCACAAATATTAAAAAAAAAAGTCTACGAAAACCTGCGATGCGTAACTATAACAAACTGAGACCTAAACACACGGAAAATCTGTCGAACTACACAGAAGCTTGCATATCTGAAAAACTCAAATTGGAATAAGGATTCTATAGGGGCTACATCAAATTATGGATCGATATAATTTTTTTCTTTCTTTTCAATGACATCATTTACCTATTTAGAACATTAAATTAGAATCCATTTGAATAAAAAGAGCTTAAAATCGTCAAATTCTCCCAAATAGTATGGCACCGTTTACTGGGGCTGTGACTAAACGGGGTCCTTTCTCACAAATTTTATGTTGCATTGTTCTTTATTTATTATGAAGTTTCTCTATTAAATCCACATCGATTTTTTGCGACGGACATCTGTAAATCCACGTGGAATATCATAATAATAACGAGTATATATATAATATGGGGAAAAGTGGTTTAAATTCAACTATTTCTTATTTAATATCTGCTAAGAATACTTCTGCCAACTTATTCTACAAAATTTTCTTTTTTTCAAATGATCATCTTGTTCAATCCTTGTTTTATATCCTTGCTCTTGACAGTCCTTCCAACTATAAATTGAAATCACTTTAATGCAATCCATAAGTTTTTGTTTTATTATTTTTGTTTGCTCTGCGCCACACATCTCTCTCTCTCCCGTTCTCGCTAATGTGTTATTTTAGCAACAACAAACAATGAACAAAAAAAAATAAAAAACTAATTAAAAAATTAGTTAATTACTAAGTGGTTTGTTGTGAAATTCAAGGAAAACAACAGCAACAAACTGTTGGAGTCATTAATGAATTAGCCAGCTAAACTAACTTTGTAAGAAGCCACACAATATCCCTGTGCACCACACAAACACACATGCACACACATACATAGCAAAATAACAGGCAATGCCAATGGTTAACAGCATCCAGCTAGTGCATTGAAATGACATTGACAGCTAATGCTACGTGTTCAGATACCTGTTGAGGAAGAGTTAGGAAAACGTTGTTTCATTTAGCATGGATTACATTTTCAGACATCCTCAAATTTTCCAAAAATCTTCATTGATACGTTCCTATTGCCAACATTGCACTTTTTCTATGAAATATTTGTTGTCTGCAATCTGTTTGCCTAGCATCTGTTAGTTTCAATTCCAATTTGTCTTGCCACTTACCGTTTCTTGGTGATTCACCCAACCGCACCGAACAATGTTCCGTTTCAAACACAAAACAATAGAAAATCTCAACCGGGTGAAAATCATGGAAAATGAGGAAAAAATTAAAAGTACCAAAAACAACAAATAATAATCCACCCCAAAATAGTGAAGCCACATCAAACTTTCCCAAAATGTTTAAACAATTAACTAACAATTGTACGGGAATAAGGAAACAGCATGAAAATAACACCACTTTCGGAAGCTACCTTAGAATTGCAATGAACTTTTAGTGTAATAGAGCACAGAACAACAGCAACGGCAACAAGCAACAACAACAACAGCGAAGAACGTTAGTGAATAAAAGTGAAAACTACTAACACACTCTGTGGGGATAAGCTGAGATGCCCAGCATCACCTCTGGCTAACGTTGCAGGAGGTGTTCGTTTTTTTTTTTCAGCCATCCAGGAAACAAACACACAAACAGCTCTTCAAACTTTATAAGCTTGAGATTATTAGACTTATATTCGATGTACTTCACTGCAACTTCTTTAGCTTGGCTTATTTTTCGTTTGGCCAGGTTGCGAGCAGTGGAACAGTGGAGAAAGAAGTGAGTTTGTTTTATAATGAAGACGTGTTATTGAATGGACAACATTTCGCCGTCGTCGTCATTGGCGAAGAAGCAGGAAAAAGTTATCAAAACTTTTTACGAAGTCGGCGCAATGAAAGGTATTGTGCAAATCATTCAAATCAACGTAATCAGTGTGGCAGATGCACAATTTTGCGGAAAATGAACTTTGTAAAAGTTTTGCATTTTCACAGCATTGTCGAGAGGGTGTTACGAAAATGGAATTGTGGAAAATGTTTTAGATTCATAGGTATATTCTAAACAAGTTAGAAAGTTTCAGATAGATGCATCTAGAAACAAATCGATTTGTTTTTACATAATCCAAGACTATTGGCTACGAAGAAACTGAAACCAAAATGACCCCGCTTTTTAGCCAGGAAGTCCTTAAAAAATCGAAAATTTATTGTCAATCCCCGACAATATTCTCTAAAATCGTTGGTTCATAGCGGCAAGTTCTAAAAATTACATTTTATCTGAAATCCTTGCCGTCAGTTCTAAAATATACTACTTAGTATATCCATTAGATTTCCCTTAATATTTAAAATTCTGCTATTTTCTTTGGAGTTCCTGGAAGATTAATTTTCAAAACTTCCATGACTCATGGGTGGAAGTCCGTTAAAATTAGTGGTGGAGGTCCATTAAAAGGTTATTTTTAAAATTTAGAGGCGAAGGTTCTTAAATCATTTTTACTTTAGAAATGCACTATCCATATTTGTAGGACCTTAAAAATATATTTGTTAAAGTCCTTGAAGATTTTTTGTTTAATTCTATTATTTATATAAAAAGTCCTCAATTATAAATCGTTATTTTTTTTTTTAAATCCACGATTAAAAGGTGGAAATACTTTTTTTAAATCTACGATTTATATGCACCCATAAATCGTAGATTTAAAAAAAGTCCTTGGATATTATTTTATAAAAATCTACGGTTTATGGGTAAGAGTCCTTGAAGACTTTTTATTAAAATTAAAAAAAAAATCAAACGATTTAGTGCTAAAACCATTGGAAATTATTTTTTTTTCCGGATGTCATTGAAGAAAGTTATATCGAAGAACATGATTTATAACAGAAAGGCTTTGAAAACGTAGTTTTAAATCCCAGATTTATAAGTGGAAATCCTTGAAGATTAATTTTCTTGAAGAATGCCTTGAAGATATATAGGGTGAGATGAAAAAACTGCAACCAATTTCAGACTGCTGTTATTTCTAAGCCACTCGTCCGACAGCTGTTAAAATTATTCCAGTGACAGCTCATTATATTGTTTACAAACGTACGAAAGCATTTTGGTGAGAATTTTTCAAAAAAAAATTATTCGTGATGAAATTTAAGCGTGATAGTGCGGAAAGAAGGTAGACTCAAAAGAGCTGAAGAGTTGACCGAAAGTGGTGAACTGCCGAATTTGCTTTACTCCGATGAGAAAACATTCGTTGTCCAGCAGTTTGTATACAAAAAAAAAATGACCCTGTTTACTTGCCAAAGAGGTCAGCTGAAAATGTGCACCTTTGGTTGGCCACCAAAACTCAAGCACCGGCCATGGCGATGGTGTGGGGGCGCCATAACAGCCGATGGTCGCTCTCCGCTTGTATTAATCGACCTTGGCATCAGAATAAATGCCGAATATTATCGAGAAAACATTCTGGAGGGTGTATTAAAGCTTTGGGCCCGCAAAAATTGTGGCCGCAGACCTTGGACGTGGCAACAGGACTCAGCACCATCGCACTCAGTACGCGCCTCCCAAGAATGGTTACAAAATCAGGTTCCTCGCTACCCCTAAATCTCCGGATACTAATCCGTTGGACTATTGTGTCTGGAGTATTTTGGAAAGCATCAGTTGCGGCAGCCTGTAACGGTTTATTGGCCGTTAGAAGTCTATAATTCGTGCCAAAAGTGACCAATTCGAACAAATATAAACTTATTCTAAAATTTGATGCTATTTCCGAAATTGTTTGCTTTCATTCAAAAAGATTTAAAAAAAATTTAAAAATTATGGCGTTTGACTTTGTTGCAGTTTTTTTTATCTCACCCTGTACTAAATATATAAATATAAAGATTCTAAAGTGTAACACCCTATGGCCTCTACACTTACAGCTTAATGTAAAAGTTTCAACTTCTTGTCTTAGCCCAGTTTAGTGTTCCAATTTAGTGTGCGAGTGAGGTTTTTTGTTGGTGTTGTTGTTTCTACTACTTTTTCTTCTTCTCAAGTTCTAATTAAATTTGGTATGGTAGAGATGCATTTATATATTTCATTTTCATTCAGTTTTCTATAATTTTGAACAAATGAAACTAATTTAATTTTGTTTGTGTGCGCATTTTTTTGTCTCTCGCTCTCTCCTCTCTAGATTGTTTGTAAAACTTGGTATTACAAGGAAAAAAAAAAAACAAAAATATATTTTTAAATGTTAATTTTTTGCGAATTTGCTAAATTTTGTTGTTGTTGTTTTTTTTTTTTTGTTTTTTGTTACAGTAATTATTCCGGTTCTAAAGAGACCTCAACGCCTCAAACAACACAGGCACGTCCTGGCAGTGCTGCCGGTGGCAGTGCGGGTAGCCAAAGTGCTGGCATGGTTGCCACCGGCTTCCAAGAGCCGAATGCAGCTGCAGCAGCAGCAGCCGAAGTGCGACAGTCTATGCTGACAACAAAGAAACCAATACCGCATGATCGTTTTGAAGATTTAGTGAAAATAGTTAACGATTATACGGGGACCCTGCAATATGGCCATGTCATTGTCGACAACGATGGTAATGATGATGGCAAAAATCCATCGCTGGGTGAATTAATAAAAATGAAACCGAGGTAAGTGGAAAGTTATAATGGAAAATTGCCATTTCACTCAGATTAAGGCTGAGTAAATGAAAATATGAACAAATGCAATAAATTAAAGAAAAAATGTAACAGAAATAGGATTATGGGCCACTTATCGAAAATTTGAGCTACTCAATTGTGGTAGGAGGAAAAATCCCTCTGACAGCCGAAAAGATTTTCCGTTCACTTCTTGACAACATAATCGAAAACCGATAACAAGTTTTCCATTAAAGCCCTCATACAATGTTGCCCCTAACCACAAAATATTTAGGAAATATCTGTCATTTAAAAATGTATACACTGGTGGCCAAAACTAAAGCAACTTAAATCGCAAAGACAATAAATGTCCTGTAACTTTTACAAAAATAAACAAATCGTAATTATTTTTCCAGTTTTAAATGAGGGGTTTAATTCACTTTTAAGAAACTAAAAATAAAAATACAAAAATAATTTTGAACGAAAAATAATATGTGGAAAACTAAAATGACCCAATTTTTGCTTGGTCAAAACTAAAGCAACTTTTGTTTTTATTTTAAAATAATTAAATTTTGTCTAGTAGTCGATAGCATAACCATTATTTTTGATAGCAGCTGCACACCTACGAGGCATTGAATCTATAACACGCTCAATTTGATTCTTGGGTGTGCTTTCCCAGGCACCCCGAATTCTTTAGAAAATGTTGTGCTTATTTATTTCCGAATCTCTCTTGATCTTCCTATATACGATACTCCAAAGGTTTTCTAAGGAGTTTAGGTCAGGTAATTGTGCCGGCCATAACAAAACATGAATTTTTGACTCCCGCAACCAATATTTGACAAGTTTTGATACAAGTTTGGGATCATTGTCATGCTGAAACACCCAAATCAGCCGAATATTTTACTCAGCGTAAGGGAACAACGCGATGTCCAACACATCTTTGTAAACAAACCGATCCATAACTTCCTTTATTTTATGGATAGGCCCAAGTCCATAGAAAGAAAAACAGCACCACGCCATTTTTGACCCTCCCTCATGCTTTACTGTACCTTTGCAACACTGCGGCTTGAGTCCTTCATTTTTTGGTCTTCTCATCGTGAAATTTTTCACGTCTGAGCCTTTAATATTAAACGTAGACTCATCCCAGAAATAATATTTTTTCCATTGAGCTTGATTCCACTTAATATTATCGTTTCTGAAAGCCTTTTTGATTTTTTCAGATATAAATGGTTTTTTGATGTCTTACGGGCATGCAGACCAGCTGCCACTACTCGTCTGCGCACTGATCTCGAGCTTATATCCAATGATTGCTCTCTCGCCAATCCAGTTAAACTCTTAAATAGTTGTTTTTAATTTCTCTCACAATTTGTGGATCAGTACGGGCTGAAGTTTTTCACGGCCTTCATCCGTTATAGACTGTTACTATTGATCCAGTTTCAAAAAACCGAATTGGTATACAGAAATAATTATGAAATCACATAAATATTTATGAAATATTTCTCGGAAATCATTTTCTGTGATATGTTGTCTAGATAGTAACTGATAAATTGCTGTTTTATTCAGGTACTGTATTTGCTTTTAGCCATTTTTAAAATTTTTTTGGGCAGTACTTAAAAAACGTAAAGAAAAACACATACTGTTGTAAAAAACTTCTCAAAAAGGATTTATGACAAGCGAAATTGCCGAAGGAAGCAAAAAGCGATAAATATCACAGTAAAAACAAGCCAAAATCGGGTTAATTGACTTTACCAAACATTATTTTTTATATAAAAATGAATTTTGGTTTTATGTTTTAAGTTTTTAAAAAGTGAATAAAGTACCTAATTTAAAACAAGAAAAACTTTCTCATTTTCTTAATATTTGAAAAAGTTACAGGGCATTCATTCTCCTTGTAATTGCAGTTGCTTTAGTTTTGGCCACCAGTGTATAATTTGTCCTCCCTCTCATCGTCCACTTTTCCCTATGTTTCAAGTGTCTATTCTTCTTGAAATTATCTCAATATATTTCACTTAAGCTCTTGATGTAAATCTTAAATCTTCGTTCTTCCCAAAATAAAATCCCCATGAAAAGATATATTGTGAACAACTAACAAACACTTTGGCATGCCAAGGATTTACAATGGCATGCGGCAATAACAACAAAATTTATATATATTTTAAGAAATGTCATTTGGTTCAACACTCCTCGATACTATTCATGCAAATTGAAATGCAAACATAATCTTTCTGGTTAAAATACAATCTCTTGCGTTTGCAAAGGAATACAGCAGCAGCAACAACAAGGGTAGCAAAAAAATGTGAAGAGTAAAACGTTTTCTCTTTAGAAAGAAAGAAATAAAAAATGGAAACACACGCACACACACAGGAGACATGTAAATCTCTGAAATGGCAAATTGAGCTGCATATCGTGTTGGATTGTTTGAAAAATTCCTGCTTGCTGCACATACAGTATCGGGCCTATGGATTATTACCAAAATGGATTGTACTATGAGAAGATTATGTATGAGAAACCAAAGTCAAAAGAAACATAATTATTTCGATATGCAATGGAGTTTGGGAGCTATTTGATCTTGCTGATGACCTGTTCCCAATGGAAAATCCAAGTTATATTTAAAGTCTTTACATTTTGTATTCCTCCATAATTACTACTTCCGGTGCCTGTTAACTGTTATATATATTCTCATATATGAATACCGTTTTTTTTTTATTATTCTCTATAACACAACACATTCCTTCGGATTGAATGGATATGCATGTACTTGGCAACGTATGACATCTTTAGTGAGCTTTACAATGATAGATAAAGATACACTTGAAATACACGAATTTTTTGCACAGACACACTCGCATAATGGTATACAAATTTGTGTAAAGATATGCAAATAGTTTCACATGCCCGCAACATATATTTGATAAGACACATTGAACTTGTAGATACAATCAGATCGTTGCTATCGGGCTAGAATATGGATTTTGTGATTTTTTTCTTCGGGGGTGATTTTTCTTTCAAATTATGTAGATGCTGGTATGTAGCTGATATGAATCTACTAGCATGTAGAAATGTCTAACTAGAAAATAGTGATATCTTAGATTATCTTATAATCAACACCTAGAGAAAATAATCAAAGCAAATATTTATGGGCATAGAAAGAGGTTTTTTATTTCCCCCAAATAATGTGTATAATCAGATTTTATGTAGGTGGTGTTTGAAGAGTGATAAAGAGACATTCTATAACAGAATAGCCACCGGGCTATATACTTTGGCCTAAAACTCTTTTGTGTCTTTAATGGGATTTCTAATGCGTATTTGTAGGCGTGCTCCTGAAGATAATTTGGGAATATTTCTTCGGATATTATTTAGAGTTCAAATTTAAATTTTTAGAAACCTGAATATTCCAAAGTGCATAAAAGACGTATGATATACAGGGTGAGATAAAAAAAACTGCAACAAAGTCAAACGCCATCATTTTTACATTTTTTTTTTTTTTGAAATTTTATTGAATGAAAGCAACAAATGTCCCAAATAGCATACAATTTTAGAATAAGTTTAGTTTTGTTCGAATTGGTCACCTTTGGCACGAATTATGGCCTTCAAACGGCCAATGAAACCGTTATATGCTGCCCGAATGTTTCTCTGCGGTATTTTGGCCCATTATCGGCGAAGCGCTTGCTGTGATCGACACTTGCTTTCCAAAATACTCCAGACACAATAGCCAACCTTGCTTTCCAAATACTCCAGACACAATAGTCCAACGGATTGGTATTCGGAGATTTGGTGGCCATTGTGCACTGAAAATGAAGCGAGGTACCTCATTTTGTAACCATTCTTGGGTGGCGCGTGCTGAGTGCGATGGTGCAGAGTCCTGTTGGAATGTCCAAGGTCTGCGGCCAAAATATTTGCATGCCCAAGGCTTTGATACACCCTACAGAATATTTTTGCGTCATTTATTCTGATTAATACGAGCGGGGAGCGACCATCGGCCGTTATGGCGGCCGAGCTAGGGGCCGAGCGAAGGTGCACATTTTCTGCTGACCTCTTTGGAAAGTAAACACGAACATTTTCGGCAGTTCACCACTTTCGGCCCACCAAAATTCTTTTGCACGTTTGTAAACCATGAGCTGTCACTGGAATAATTTTAAGAGCTGTCGGACGAATGGCTTAAAAATTACATCAGTCTAAAGTTGGTTGTAGTTCTTGCATCTCAACCTGTAGAGGAAGGAAAGGAAGCTGAGGTCTTCAAGTCCGCAAAACGTAGATTTTTTGGAAAATTAGTTTCCAAGAACCAACAGAATATCAAACGTGGATTTCATAGAGTATTTTTCCACAAAATGTGGACTTTGTACAGAAAATGATTTTTTCACAAGGATTAGAACCACAAACCGTGGATTTTTTCAAAATATTTTTTAAATAGAAGAATAATTTTTAATCCACAAAGAGTGGATTTGTAAGGTTTTTAGGGACCACAAAGCGTTGATTTTATAACAAATATTTTTCTCAAGGACAACATAGTGTGGAACTTTTTGTAATAACATTTCTGCCGAGAACGCAAACGAGTTTTTTTTAATATTTTTGGAACTCTACTAGCCAGTCAAAAATGATTTTTTTTTAAGAATATGTTTTCCAGGGATCAACTAACAACTAAACGTGATGTTTTTAAAGTATAATTTTCCCTGGACCAACAGACCACCAAATATGGAAAATCTTTTTTTTCATAGTACACACGAACGTCGAACGTGGTTTAAAAAAAAAATATATATATATTTTTCCAAGGTACAACTAAGGTAGATTATGTTCAAGGTCCAACAGAACCTCATACGTAGAATTTTTAAAGAGGTTTTTTCCAAAGATTAAAAAAAAAACGGCAAGACGTAGATTTTTAGGCAGATTTGGCTGGGGGACCTTCAATAGGTCTAAAGAAGATTTTTTATTGAATTGTTTCTAAAAGCGGATTTTTAAGGTGAATTTTCAAAAAGTTTTTAAAGAATTTTGGTCTGGATTTTTTAATACATCTGAGG